GTAGTGATGTCGCTGTCACTACTCCTGTCAGTGGAGGCAGACCTCCCCTTGCCCTCCCCTTGTTTCTGCCCTCATTGCAGTGCAGTAAGAATGCTGTTAAGGACTGGGTGACAACACAATAGTAATTTCAGATGCCATCTTACAGAATTGTCACCATCATGAAGAAAGTACTAATGCCACATTCTAAATCAATGGCAGGGTGGTGAAAAGGCCTGTTAAATGCAAGCTTTTGCTATTGCATTGCTGGATCTTTGAACTGGCCGGGGCATACACTTTAATGTATGATTTTTTTTTTCTATGGCCTACATTATCTTCTTCCTTTTTTTTATTTTTGTGAGCTAGTTTTTTGCAATGATTTTCTTAACATTTATTTAAACTATTCCTAAGCAGACTTTTCATCAGTAGTATAAGAAACATCTCTGCAAATATGTAAATCAGGAGGCAAGTAATGGATAACAAACTGCTGTTTGCATTGACTGGGATTCCAATTGCATACAATACAACAATACATGTTTGAGGTGACAAAGCCCTTCATTGGATTGCAAGTGCTATTCAAATTCATTCAAGTAAGTATCCCAGAGAGAGGCTCTAAAGGGATGCTGGGTAACTATATATATTCTGTGAGCACACTAAAGTCTGGGTCTTTTCCTCTATAAGGTTGGTTCCGCCTGGAGGAGGCATGCTACCCTCCCAGGCAATGCTGCTGTATCTACTGCTGTAGGCCTTAGGTGGGGACCTGAGGACCTGAATGCTGAGACCTGGGTTCTGCTAAAACTGATTGAGGGACCGTCTACTGAAGACCTTGTCTGGTATCACAGAGGAAGGCAACTAGCTGTTGTTGTGCCTTGTGAGGACATAAACATCTAAAGTATCATAGAGACTGTGTGCTGTTTATACTACTCTGGTGCTAGGGAGTCAGCTGCGGGTCTAGCTAAAGGGGATGCCGGCTTTGTTCATTTAATCTCCTACCTAAAAGAACTCTGCTCTAGTGTGCTACTACTACTACTACTACTACTACTACTGCTGCCTTAAAGCTGAAGTCTACAGTTTATTTCAAGCACGGACTTCGTAATAGCTTATTTGAAAGAATACCTAAAGTCCTCAACTGTACATAGTACTTGTTTTTGGAGTATCCCACCTAATTTCCTCAACCCTATCCAAGCTCCCCAAAAATTTAATTAAGAAAAACAACACCCCCAAGACTGGTCATTGGAGAAACGTGTGAATGAGCCTTTGTGCCTGGCTGCGGGGCAAAGCTTTTGGGTAAGACCTCCACAGTATCCTTGCGGCAACTATGGGAGCAGATATACATATATAAAACATGTACAACCAGGGGTGGACTGACCATTCGAGCACTCGGGCACTGCCCGAGGGCCCAGGGTCAGTAGGGGGCCCCATGAGATGCCCCTGGTACCTTTCATTGGCTTTTTCATAAGCTTTTTTGGGTGTGGGCGAGGACACAAGGGCCCCATGATCCCTTATTGCCCGGGGGCCCCATGAGTTGTCAGTCCGCCCCTGTGTACAACACATCTTTGCAGGCAGTATACAGCACACCTTCACAAACAGGGGTGGACTGACCATTCGAGCACTCGGGCACTGCCCGAGGGCCCAGGGTCAGTAGGGGGCCCCATGAGATGCCCCTGGTACCTTTCATTGGCTTTTTCATAAGCTTTTTTGGGTGTGGGCGAGGACACAAGGGCCCCATGATCCCTTATTGCCCGGGGGCCCCATGAGTTGTCAGTCCGCCCCTGTGTACAACACATCTTTGCAGGCAGTATACAGCACACCTTCACAAACAATATAGTTTACATTTTCCCAATTGTAAAGACCTGTAGAGGAGTATGGACCATTCCATTGTCTATGGGACATTATTTGTAAATTATCCCCACTTAAAACATTACTTTCTCCTGTGTCCCCAATTTTTAATAATCCTGCAATTGCGCCAGGTTTACATCCTCAACAGTTTAGTTGGGTGAATAAAGGTCTGTACAGGATAGAACATTTTCTAAATCACAAAAGCATTCAATGTCCAAAGTATTTTTTCCAAACACTCAAGATGCCCTCCTTGAAAACCTGATATATGTGTCAAATTTTTCATTTCTTGTGCTCTGTTTAGAAAGACACTGATGATATTACAATGAGATCTGTCTTTGACTCTAGCATGGGCAACAAATTGAGCTCAGAGATCACTAAAATGGACTGGTCATCCCTAGACTACCATTATACATAAAGGGATACTTAACATGACAGAAGCCAATTACAAAGTTTTATCCTACTGGTATTTGGTACCAGCTAGGATCCCTAAGATTTATCCTGATGCATCCATGGTTTGTTTTAGACGATGTGGACAGATTGGAGTAATGTTTCACATCTGGTGGACCTGTTCAAAAATCAGAAGATATTGGACTAGGATATACACAATGATCCATTCTGTTACTAAAAGCAATGTCCCAAAAACAGCTGAACAGCCATCTTAAAGTTGCTGAAAAACCTCACATATACTCAATGAAGTGACTAGCCTCAGGTGATGCACAGAGATAAAACAATTCCTGCTACATACGTTTACTTGTTTATCTGTGGCCCTCTCTCCTTTACACAGCATTTCTGAGCTTTCAGAAAGCAGGGGGTGGGGATCTGAAATCACACACTGCACAGCTCAGGGAAGAGAGCTCTGAGAGCTGATTGGAGGGAAGGGACACACCATTACCACACAATACTCAGTAAACATGCACAGCTGAGGCACATGTTGTGTGCTTGAGCTCCCCTTAATCTCTTGGAGCGGGGAAAACCTGTCAACAGTGACTTATGCAGAAAGTAGAGGAACTAGACAGTAGAGTAAAAATCAAACTGATTACTTTGGATTCAGGCTAGTATACACTGTGAAAGGGTGTGCTTTGTTTAATTCATGTCAGAGGTTTACAAGCTCTTTAACCACTTCAATACCGGGCACTTTTAGCCCCTTCTTCCCAGGCCAATTTTCAGGTTTCAGCACTCTCACACTTTGAATGACAACTGCGTGGTCATGCAACACTGTATTCAAACTAAAATTGTATCATTTTGTTCACACAACTAGTGCTTTTTTTTGGTGGTATTTAATCACCACTGGGGTTTATATTTTTTTGCAAAATTAACAAATAAAACCAAAAACTTTGAAAAAAAAAAAAAAACACGTTTCTTTGTTTCTGTTATAAAAGTTTGCAAATAAATAATTGTTCTTCATTAATTTAGGCCAAGATGTATTGTGCTCCATTTCTTTGGTGTAAATAACCCAAATCAGTATTTATTATTTAGTCTGTAGGAAAGTTATAGAGTTCACAAACTATGGGATATATCTGAAAATTGATCAACCCTGAAGTACTGACGGCCAATCTTCTTGAGGCCCAAAAATGTCAGAACATTGCAAAAAGGGGTCATTTGGGGGATATCTGTAAAGTAGACAGTCCAACGTATTTCATAAGAGGCATGGCAAGTTTTTTGAAGTTGTAATTTTTTTGTCAGAATTTTTTAGAAAATGAAGAAATTAAAAAAAATGATTTTCACAATTTTTTTTTTACATACTGTCACCAGTGCAGTACAACATCATCATATAACTGGTGTGGTGGCAATGAGGAAACTGACTGGTGACAGTGCAAAAAAAAAGAAAAATTGATAATTTTTTTCAATTATTTTTCAATTTGTTTATTAAATTTTTTTCTCTTTCTTTTAAGATTTTTTTTCATATTACACTATGACCAAAGTAGTATAATGTTACCATAGTACCATTGTACTACTTTGGGGAAGTGATCAGTATTTTTTTTTTATAAGCAAGCATTTAACTGAATTAAATCAATTCATTCAGGGTTTTTTTGTTGTGATTAGCTGTGATTGGCCACAGCTAATCACATGACACAGATGGGCTGTGATTGGCCCAGCCTGTGCATGTGATCACTGTGACCATTCACAGCTAGACACACTTGTATACAATGGATGGCATGAAAGACAGCCATCCATTGTATACAACTGTCATGAGACCTGCTGTGATTGGTCACAGCAGGTCACATGGTACTGGCAATGGGGCCAGTACACAGATCTGTCATCGGCCGTGTCCGAGGTACACAGCCAGTGACAGATCTCGCCACAGCACGGCCCTGCGGGCATGTGCAAAACACGACCCGGGAGGGACGTCATATGACGCCCTACCGGAGGGACGAGAGGTTTGCCCTGCCGTCATTTTACTATAGGCCGAGCAGGAAGTGGTTAAGTGAACTTATTACAGATATCCTTAGACACCGCACACTCAGTGTTGTTTGTGTGCATTTGAAACACTCAGTGTTTTAAATGCACACAAAAATTATACTACCTGTCCAGTATAATGTCCTGTCTTTGGGCATGCACAGAAAATCACCTCTTCTAGGACCCCATGATTGGGCAAAGCCTTTGGCTACATCTTCAAATTTTCTATAGATTTGTTGTACTTACAAATTGTTTTCTAGAGGTCAAAAAATTATGAAGGCTAAAAAATACTGTTTGGTACAAAAAAAATATAAAAAAGAAATTTGAAAAAACATTGTGTTAAAAAATTAATGATGGATAAAAAATATTTTGTAAAAATATCAATGATGTTAAAAAATAGTTTTATGAATAAAAAAATGCTTTCACTGTGTCCTGTGAAATATTCTTCCACTGCCATCCACACTCTTTTCAATTTGTTCTGAGACAATATTTCTTGCACACATAATTTTAAATCTGTTCTCTCTCCTCCAGATTCTCTTTTTTTTCCAGTGGGCTGAAATCCTTTGAGAATAAAAATGGAGAAAAATGACAGATGAGATATCCTCATCCTTGTGTAGATTTTTACAAAATGGTATTTAAATTTTATTAAAATCACTAGAGATGAGCGAAGTATTCAAAAATTCGATTCGGCTGATTCAGCGAATTCGCGGAATAAATTTGATTCGAGTCGAATATATTCGCTGCGAATTTAACTTATAAAAAGGGTGTTTCTAGGCTTCAGAGAGCCTTTATATTAGTGCAGAACACTGTACCTTTAATTTAAATGCCCTTGGAGTCTGCTGGGGAAGAGAAATAATACTGTCAGTCAGTATGACATGCAGATGAGTGCCGTCGATCTTAGAATCACCGCACACTTCACTCATTTGGGCAGTCACGGGGCCAAAACCAGAGTGTGGAGCCACAGTGTGGCGGTGGAGGCAGCAGCAATGGGAGGCCATACAGCACCCTATGACAAAATGGAACCCACCAGCAGTGTGAGGAGACCTGAAAGTGGCACATGGCAGAGTGTGGCGATGGAGACAGCAGCAATGGGAGGCCGTACAGGGACCCATGACACACTCTGGACCTGGCAGCAGCATGAGGAGGCGGTACAGGGGCCCATGACAGATTACGGGCCTGGCAGCAGCATGAGGAGTCGGTACGGGGGCCCATGGCAGATTACGGGCCTGGCAGATGACGACGAGGCTGCCAAGTGCGATCAGCCTCATCATCATCAATTAGGGTCTCCGCCTCACTACTAGCCCCCTCGGCTGCGTGTGGGTCAGGAGACAGACCTGTCTCTAGACCGGCTACCAAGCCACTCTTCTCGCCAGTACTTCTTCGCCTGGCTGCTGAAGAGGCGGATGTCTCCCCCCATTCCTGACCGCCCTCTGTTAGCTCTTCCTCACTGTACAGTGGGGCTGAGCCCACAGCATGCGATACTTCGCTTGTGAGGGAACACCAAAGGACAGGGGCAGGTAGAGGACACGTGATTTCAGTGGGCTTGCTCCCGGGCCATGCCAACTAACGGTTGTGTCTGACGTACCCACCGACCGTTGGCTGTAAGTGTCAGAGGTGACCTGGGGAAGAGGAAGACGACCGAGCCAACCAATCGATGACGGCAGGGTTGTCGGTGGAGACACGACCGCTGGATGACACCGGGAGCACTGGCCTCTGGCTGCGACTAGTGCTGCCTCGACCCCTTCCTCTGCTGCCACGTCTGCTCGCTCCTGAAACATTACCTCCTCTGCCACTCCTCTGCGTGTTGTCTGACATACTCTTTAATTCAACGATTCTGTGTCCCTGAGTAACAATTCTGTGTCCCTGAGTAAGGATTCTGTGTCCCTCAGTAACGATTCTGTGTCCCTCAGTAACGATTCTGTGTCCCTGAGTAACAATTCTGTGTCCCTGAGTAACAATTCTGTGTCCCTCAGTAACGATTCTGTGTCCCTCAGTAACAATTCTGTGTCCCTGAGTAACAATTCTGTGTCCCTGAGTAACAATTCTGTGTCTGTCCCTGAGTAACAATTCTGTGTCCCTGAATAACAATTCTGTGTCCCTGAGTAACAATTCTGTGTCCCTGAGTAACAATTCTGTGTCTGTCCCTGAGTAACAATTCTGTGTCCCTGAGTAACAATTCTGTGTCCCTCAGTAACAATTCTGTGTCCCTGAGTAACAATTCTGTGTCTGTCCCTGAGTAACAATTCTGTGTCCCTCAGTAACAATTCTGTGTCCCTGAGTAACAATTCTGTGTCCCTGAGTAACAATTATGTGTCTGTCCCTGAGTAACAATTCTGTGTCCCTGAGTAACAATTCTGTGTCCCTCAGTAACAATTCTGTGTCCCTGAGTAACAATTCTGTGTCTGTCCCTGAGTAACAATTCTGTGTCCCTGAGTAACAATTCTGTGTCCCTCAGTAACAATTCTGTGTCCCTGAGTAACAATTCTGTGTCCCCGAGTAACAATTCTGTGTCTGTCCCTGAGTAACAATTCTGTGTCCCTGAATAACAATTCTGTGTCCCTCAGTAACAATTCTGTGTCCCTGAGTAACAATTCTGTGTCCCTGAGTAACAATTCTGTGTCCCTGAGTAACAATTCTGTGTCCCTGAGTAACAATTCTGTGTCTGTCCCTGAGTAACAATTCTGTGTCCCTGAGTAACAATTCTGTGTCCCTGAGTAACAATTCTGTGTCCCTCAGTAACAATTCTGTGTCCCTGAGTAACAATTCTGTGTCCCTGAGTAACAATTCTGTGTCTGTCCCTGAGTAACAATTCTGTGTCCCTCAGTAACAATTCTGTGTCCCTGAGTAACAATTCTGTGTCCCTGAGTAACAATTCTGTGTCTGTCCCTGAGTAACAATTCTGTGTCCCTGAGTAACAATTCTGTGTCCCTCAGTATCAATTCTGTGTCCCTGAGTAACAATTCTGTGTACCTGAGTAACAATTCTGTGTCCCTGAGTAACAATTCTGTGTCCCTGAGTAACAATTCTGTGTCTGTCCCTGAGTAACAATTCTGTGTCCCTCAGTAACAATTCTGTGTCCCTGAGTAACAATTCTGTGTCCCTGAGTAACAATTCTGTGTCCCTCAGTAACAATTCTGTGTCCCTGAGTAACAATTCTGTGTCTGTCCCTGAGTAACAATTCTGTGTCCCTGAATAACAATTCTGTGTCCCTGAGTAACAATTCTGTGTCCCTGAGTAACAATTCTGTGTCTGTCCCTGAGTAACAATTCTGTGTCCCTGAGTAACAATTCTGTGTCCCTCAGTAACAATTCTGTGTCCTTGAGTAACAATTCTGTGTCTGTCCCTGAGTAACAATTCTGTGTCCCTCAGTAACAATTCTGTGTCCCTGAGTAACAATTCTGTGTCCCTGAGTAACAATTCTTTGTCTGTCCCTGAGTAACAATTCTGTGTCCCTGAGTAACAATTCTGTGTCCCTGAGTAACAATTCTGTGTCCCTCAGTAACAATTCTGTGTCCCTGAGTAACAATTCTGTGTCTGTCCCTGAGTAACAATTCTGTGTCTGTCCCTGAGTAACAATTCTGTGTCCTTCAGTAACAATTCTGTGTCCCTGAGTAACAATTCTGTGACCCTGAGTAACAATTCCGTGTCTGTCCCTGAGTAACAATTCTGTGTCCCTGAGTAACAATTCTGTGTCCCTCAGTAACAATTCTGTGTCCCTGAGTAACAATTCTGTGTACCTGAGTAACAATTCTGTGTCCCTGAGTAACAATTCTGTGTCTGTCCCTGAGTAACAATTCTGTGTCCCTCAGTAACAATTCTGTGTCCCTGAGTAACAATTCTGTGTCCCTCAGTAACAATTCTGTGTCCCTGAGTAACAATTCTGTGTCCCTGAGTAACATTTCTGTGTCTGTCCCTGAGTAACAATTCTGTGTCCCTGAGTAACAATTCTGTGTCTGCCCCTGAGTAACAATTCTGTGTCCCTGAGTAACAATTCTGTGTCCCTGAGTAACAATTCTGTGTCTGTCCCTGAGTAACAATTCTGTGTCCCTGAGTAACAATTCTCTGTCCCTGAGTAACAATTCTGTGTCTGTCCCTGAGTAACAATTCTGTGTCTCTGAGTAACAATTCTGTGTCCCTCAGTAACAATTCTGTGTCCCTGAGTAACAATTCTGTGTCTGTCCATGAGTAACAATTCTGTGTCCCTGAGTAACAATTCTGTGTCTGTCCCTGAGCAACAATTCTGTGTCCCTGAGTAACAATTCTGTGTCCCTGAGTAACAATTCTGTGTCCCTCAGTAACAATTCTGTGTCCCTGAGTAACAATTCTGTGTCCCTGAGTAACAATTCTGTGTCTGTCCCTGAGTAACAATTCTGTGTCGCTGAGTAACAATTCTGTGTCCCTGAGTAACAATTCTGTGTCCCTCAGTAACAATTCTGTGTCCCTCAGTAACAATTCTGTGTCCCTGAGTAACAATTCTGTGTCCCTCAGTAACAATTCTGTGTCTGTCCCTGAGTAACAATTCTGTGTCCCTGAGTAACAATTCTGTGTTCCTGAGTAACAATTCTGTGTCCCTCAGTAACAATTCTGTGTCCCTCAGTAACAATTCTGTGTCTGTCCCTGAGTAACAATTCTGTGTCCCTGAGTAACAATTCTGTGTCCCTGAGTAATAATTCTGTGTCCCTCAGTAACAATTCTGTGTCCCTCAGTAACAATTCTGTGTCTGTCCTTGAGTAACAATTCTGTGTCCCTGAGTAACAATTCTGTGTTCCTGAGTAACAATTCTGTGTCCCTCAGTAACAATTCTGTGTCCCTCAGTAACAATTCTGTGTCTGTCCCTGAGTAACAATTCTGTGTCCCTGAGTAACAATTCTGTGTCCCTGAGTAATAATTCTGTGTCCCTCAGTAACAATTCTGTGTCCCTCAGTAACAATTCTGTGTCTGTCCTTGAGTAACAATTCTGTGTCCCTGAGTAACAATTCTGTGTCCCTGAGTAACAATTCTGTGTCCCTGAGTAACAATTCTGTGTCCCTCAGTAACAATTCTGTGTCCCTCAGTAACAATTCTGTGTCTGTCCCTGAGTAACAATTCTGTGTCCCTGAGTAACAATTCTGTGTCCCTGAGTAACGATTCTGTGTCCCTGAGTAACGATTCTGTGTCCCTAAGTAACGATTCTGTGGCCCTAAAGTCTCTCTGGCCCTAACTCTGTCCCTAATACAGACAGGTCTGTCTCTCTTGAATGACCGGAGGCTAATGGAGAATTGTAAGATGGCCGCAATTTAAAGCTCCACCATTACACAGTGCTGGCTGGCTGGCTGCTGATTGGCTAATGCGATCACATGTCATGAATGAATGCATTATGGGTCAGCGCGCCTTGTCTGCGCGCCTTCCCAGAGATCCCCGCTCCGTCGCCACACATGTCGCCGCCATTTTTGGGAAAATTCGATTCGTGCATCCGAAGTTGGCTAATTTTCGGATTCGGCGCGAATCTAATATTTCCCAATATTCGAAACGAATTCCACTTCGCCATGTTCGATTCGCTCATCTCTAAAAATCACCTTTACAATGGCAAAACTTGAAGAACATACAGCATAATATCACAGCATTTCTTCTTGGCAAGTACTGCTTCCCACACCTCCAGTGCTTCCAGCTCACATTGTTATCACAGGCAACCAAAATCCAAGAGATTAAAAGATATAAAAACACTTAAAGATATGATAAATCCACTAAACTGAGCATAGCCCATATTGTATATTTTGACTGATTTCAGATAGATATTATATCCTTTGAGATATAGACCCACGTGTGCTACATTTTTGGATAAAGGTAATAACAGCCCTTAATATGCAGAAAAAATGGTATCACAATTGTATAAAAACAATGTAGCTGAAATGCATAGAACTATATGATAGTAACGTTTGTGTGTTAATTATCAAAAGGGGTCACTAGGGAGAGCAAAGACACACTTGACTGAAAATGAGCTGTAAAAGAAAAACAATTCAGATAAAATGCATCTGTGAAGTATTACAAAATCTGATACATGTAAAAAATAGCTGTTAGCAATGCAAAGATAGTGGATCACTAACACCAAATGAATAACATAGGCTAGAAAAACAAATTAAGTGTAAAAGAATTAACGCAAGCAATTGTAAAATTAATGATTATTTGGTAAGAGCTTTATAAACATAACTAATAAAGTGATTGATGATCAAGTCAGTTTTGGAATGTGGAACAAAGAACATAAGTTGATTTTCAACAGCGCTCCTAGGATAAATTTTTAACAAGGGGGTCCCCAGATCCCGCCCCCCCCCATGTGAATGAGTATAGGGTACATGGTACCACTATTCATTCACAACAAAAAATGTAGTGTAAAAAATGAAAGTAGACAGTCTTTAACAAGTATT